CTGCGGTGTGATCGCAGCTATGTGCAACGGCGCGTTGATGCCTGTGTTCTCCCTCTTGTTTGGCGACTTCGCTAGTGCGTCTGCTGGTGGCCTTGACGGGTTCATGGATAGAGTCGTCACTGTTACGTGGCAGATGTGTATCCTCGCTGGCGTTGCCCTTGTTACAGGAGCTATATTCAATACTTGTTTCACGTACTTCTCTGAGAATCAGGCATCTCGTCTGAGAGTAAAGTATTTGCAAGCAGTGATAGGTCAAGACATAGCATGGTTCGACATGAGGACCCCTGCGGCAATCCCGTCGCGTATGGCTGAGGACGTCCTCAAGGTTCGTGATGCTATTGGTTCCAAAGCATCTATGTGCTGTGTGAACATTGCCATGACGGTTGTTGGGTATATAATAGCCTTCTACAGAGGATGGCAGATCACCCTCGTTATGATGAGTTCTCTACCGCTTATCATGATTGCCGGCTTCCTCATGGCGAAGACTATGTCAAGCCTTTCTTCGAAGGGTCAGACGCAGTACGCTGCAGCTGGTGCAGTAGCAGAGGAGGTACTCGGATCGGTGAAGACCGTAGCTGCATTCGGTGGGGAGAAGCGCTCTATGGTGAAGTATGCTCTCGTTGTTAAAGATGCACTGAGATCTGGAATACGCGGGGGCATTTTTCGAGGGCTTTCTATTGGCTTTACTATGGCAGTCTATCTGGACATATGCTCTTACCTTTTGGTATGGTGGTTCTCTGATTCGTGATGGTGTGACGAATCCATCCACAGGATTGCCGTATCAAGGCGGTGATGTCCTCACTGTATTCATGTCTGCCATTATGGCTACTTTCTCGTTGGCCCAGATAGCCCCCCATGTGCAAGTAAGTTTATCATCGCTACTGAGTTGGAGTCTGGCATCGTGAGTTCTATCATCAGGCCTTCGCTGAAGGGTGTGCTGCTGGTGGGAAGATCTATCCGCTGTTCGAGGAGAAGGCCTTGATCGAGCCAGAGGTGCGTCGTTTGGCCGACATGGACGAGGCTGAGGCTATAAAACCGCCACAACTTGACACTTTCGAGTTGGAGAAGGTGAAGTTCAACTATCCTGCTAGACCGGAACTACAGGTAGGTGGTAGTCGGCTATGTGCATTGTAAGGTTCCTCTGGTCAGGTCATTAAAGGCGTGTCGTTGAATATCAAACGTGGTGAGAAGGTAGCCTTCGTTGGTGAGTCCGGCTCGGGCAAGTCTACTCTGGTGCAGCTCATTGAGAGGTTCTACGACCCCGTGGAGGGACGGGTGGGCTGCTTTATAGTTTTACGTGTCGTCGTGTATTTCATGTTAGGTTCTGGTCAATGGTGTTGATATCAAGAGTATGCCAGTCCACCAGCATCGTGCTTTGTTTGGTTATGTTGGGCAAGAGCCCTTCTTATTCGCCGACAGCATTCGCAACAACCTCACGTACGGGCTGGTTGGCAAGAATCTCCCCTCGGAGGCGGCCATCAGAGATGTATGCAAGAAGGCCCAGATTCTCGACTTCATCGAATCGCTGCCGCAAGGGTTTGACACATATGCTGGTCCTGGCGGTAGTCAGGTTTCGGGTGGTCAAAAACAGAGGATTGCCATTGCGAGGGCCCTTCTGCGCCATCCTCAAATTCTCTTGCTCGATGAGGCTACGTCAGCTCTTGATAATGAGAGTGAGAAGATGGTTCAAGCTACTATCGATTATTTGCAAACGACAGTCAGCATCACGACCATCTCGATTGCGCATCGTCTCTCTACTATCAAGAACTCTGATAAGATCTTTGTCATGCATCTGGGGAATTTGGTCGAGCAGGGAAATCATGAGGAGTTGATGGCCATGGCTGGGGTGTACAGTGCGTTGGTGTCGGCTCAGGCTGCGGCGAGTACTGAGCACTCTGCTGAGGCTCATGCTGAGCGCAATCGTCGCTCTTTGTCGGCTGCCGGGGAAATGTTACGTAAGGCTAGTTCTCAGAGGAAGCAGTCTGAGTTGACTCTAGGGGGTGTAGCCGAGGAGGAGGACCAGGACTTCGAGAACAGGTTGTTGGGTAAAACTGAGGAGGAGATTGAGGCGGAACGTAAGAAGTTGATTTCGAAGTCGTACAAAACTCCGTGGAAGCGTCTGATCGGTTTGAGCCGGAACGAGAAGTGGTGGTTCATCCCGGCTATCTTTGGTGCCTTCATCTCGGGTGCTGGTTTCCCGTTGAATGCGTTGCTTCTAGCCCATGCACTTACCGCTTTCTATTACCCTCCGTTGCTGATCATGGATAGAGTCAGCACAGTGTCGTTGTATTATGTGGGACTGGGCGCGTTGCTCTTTGTCGGACATGTGATGCAGTCGTTGGGGTTCTCCGTCATTGGTGAGAACTTCACGTGTAATGTTCGTAAGCAGTGCTTTAACAAGATAGTTGAGCAAGATATGGGCTTCTTTGATTTCCCCGAGCACGCGGCTGGTAAGCTGACGGCTTCCTTGTCGACCTATGCTGTGAAAATGAACTCCATCACTGGAGCCTCGCTGGGTATTTACGCCCAGGCTGTGACTGGTATGGTCGTAGGTGCGGTCATTGGGTTTACGGGCTCTTGGCAGCTGACTCTGGTTATGCTCGCTATGGTGCCCTTCCTGGGCATCGCTGCGAAGGTGAACATGTCTGTTAGAGTTGTGGGCAAGAAGGAGCAGGATGAGCTGAAGCAAGCTCAGCTAGTTGCATCAGAGGCCATTCAGAACATGCGCACGGTAAGAGCGTTTATGGCAGAGTCGTGGACGGTGGAGGCGTATGATCGTTATGCTGCTAGATCGAGTAATACTAGTTTCTCAGCGGCATCAGTTCGGGGTCTCACTTTTGGTGCTTCCAACTGTATCATCTTTCTTGCCTATGCTATCGGGTTCTATTATGGTGGCCATCTTATGGTGTATGAGGGTCTGAGCTACACTCATATGCTGCAGGCGTTGATGGGCATCATGTTTGCTGCTATGGCTGTTGGGCAGGCTATGGCCTTCCTGCCTGATGTCGCCGAGGCTAAGGTTGCTGCTCATGACGTGTTCGAAATCCTTGACACGGAGTCTAAGATTAACGCGGTAACTCCTGATGGGACCGTCTGTGTTCTTGGTGATGGTATTATCGAATTCAAAGATGTTCACTTTTCATATCCGACCCACCCGGAAGTTGAAATTCTAAAGGGGGTCTCCTTCCGTATTGAGCCTGGTCAGCAAGTGGCTTTTGTTGGGCCTTCTGGTAGCGGTAAGTCCACAGTGATGGCTCTCATGCAGAGGTTCTATGATGTTAATGGCGGCAGTGTATGTGTTGGAGGATCGGATATTCGTATGCTGGACATCTCCTGGTGGCGAGGCAAGAACGGTTATGTTGGTCAAGAGCCTGTGTTGTTCGACATGACTCTTGCTGAGAATGTCCGTTACGGTAAGGAGAATGCGTCTATGGCTGAGCTGGAGAAGGTTGCTAATATGTCCAATATGGATTATGTTACTTCTATGGGAGGCAGCGTGAAGTGGGACGACCCGATGGGCCCGAAAGGTTGTCGTCTGTCGGGCGGTCAGAAGCAGAGAGCAGCTATTGCCAGAGCTCTTGTGAGGGATCCTCACGTTATTTTCCTCGATGAGGCTACGAGTGCATTGGACTCTACTAGTGAGAAGATCGTCCAGAATGCCATTGATGCCGCCTCGGTTGGTCGTACCAGTGTCACAATCGCTCATCGTTTGTCGACAGTTCGAAATTGTGATGTAATATATGTTGTTGCTGATGGCAAGATCGTCGAATATGGTGACCATGATGCTCTTCTTGCTAAGGGTGGAGTGTATTATGATCTCTTCACCAAGGGGCAAAAATGATTATCCTCTACAAGATTTGAGGTGGCTCTAATACTATGATAATGACCCTGAGTGGAATCTGTTGTCGGTTTACTTTGGGTTCAACAACAAAATGACGAACTATAATAGCCATCATAATATTGTAATCTTTACGTTTATTTCTGCGATCGTTCGATCGTTTACTATCATCAATAAAAACTTATTGCTTTCCCTCGTTGCAGCATAGCATAATAGAGGCGTTTCCGATCTCAACAACTCGACAATTGTAAGCCGCTTTTCAAGATGTGGTAGTCATCACTGATGTGGCTATTCCATTGTCGT